TTAATATGAGACAAAGATATAGGGATGGTGTCATGTAGCTTTGTGCATCTTTGCTGTGTAATGACCCCTTGTTTCTTCCTTTTTGGTGCTTCAAGCCATCCCTATATCCCCCTTTCATTTTGAAGAAATGATTTTTCCACTTGTATACGGTAGTACTTAGTGGATGATAAATACTTTTGTCCAGGTTGACAAAGATTATCAGCAACGGTGTATATACAATGGGAAATGCATTTTTATAAGAAAACAGGATAGCATACTACCATCTATAGCAGTCCTATATACAAATACTTGTTCACTGTTCACTAATCACTTTTTTCACTATAGCTAAATTAGTATAAAAGGGTGTCATGTATATATTATATATCACTGCACTTGACAGCTTCGGAAGGGTTAGTTAAACGACTCCAGAATTTCCTTTCTTGGTGATGGTAATTGTAAGTCCAATGGCAACAACCACAAAGAGGATCTGTGGAGTGAAGAAGGAGAAAAGGAGAGAGAAAGGAGAGGGTGAGGTGGGGGAGAGAGAAGAAGCATTAAAATTATAAAACTTATGGGCAATTAAATTCTTTGTGGATACATTCTTACACTGTTAATAATTAAAGTGTGACTTGTAGCTACTCTGGAAAGTATATCATAGACATTGTGTTAAATAGTTTTCAACCAATTGTGAGCCATAGTTTATATACATATATATTATATATGTATATATAATAGCACTCTTAGTGTTGAAACTTACCTCAACCAACATAATGAGGAGAGATACGACTCCCACGGCGATGTAGTAACCCATTACAAATGCTTCAACTGTGTCCAAGCAACCCTATATATAAAACATGTAGTCCACGGTAAATAGGAGAAGGAGAATAATAGAGATCATTACTGAAAACAGTTAACACTAACAGAGAGGGAATAATGGATGAAATGTATATACTCTGGTATTTACACAACTTGGGCACAGTTAATAGAGAGAGGAAACTGGATAAATAATAGTTTCTGCCTTTTGTGACTATAAAAGCTTTGCGACAACAATGCGAATTTCACGATATTCATGAAGCAAATTTCTTTTTATTAGTGGTCAAGCCGGCCATCTAACCATGAAAAATCTTTTACATTATTATGCAGTTCATGAAATTTTTTTGCTGAGAAAGTTTCTCTACTTATACAGTATTTTCTTAGTGATATTTTCTTCACTTACCTCTTCCCAGACGTATCGAGTGGTACCGACGGGGGTGCCCACAAATTGGAACTCGACGCAGTCGTCGTCAGTGTTGATATTGCAACTGCAGTTTGGAGGCACGTAGCCGTTGTCAATGACTGCCTGGCGGTTGAGTCTCGACCAATCAGATGCATTGTAAACTCCGCAGCACTCAATCTATATAGGTGGAGAAAAGATGGACACATATAAATACGTGAAATTACAACGCTAAGGCTAGGTCGCAATATGTCGCATTGCCCTGTCATGCCGTGCCCGTCGATCGCTTTACACCCTAAGCTGGCTTTCATGAGGGGTGACTGTGCCGTTTGACAGCTGCGAAGATAGAAATGGATTCTATCCTCGCGACGTGGCAATGCGACATAATATTGTGAACCTAGCCTAACACCATTGGAACCATCACACCTTTCCCGTTCTGATGGTATCCTTCACTGGCCATGACACCCCATCAGCTGTATATACGTCCCATAAGAAAAGTATGCCATAAGTAAAGTATGTGGCGCCTCGACATTTAGTGAGCGAAAGTTAACCGAAAACAGAAGAACTACCACCAAAAGCATCCCAATTTTTTTCTTATAGTAATCCTACCCTTAGCCCTTTTCCCTATACTGTGACTTAAAACAGTGATGTAATAGTGATGTAAGCCCCTTTTACCCCCCAGAAACACCCCTGTTGTGATATTGACTCACGCCATCTTGGACAGTCTCAACATTGTCTTGGGACTCCTCGTCAAAAGCTGGGTCGGTGCGATTGAAGCGGTAGCTGTAATAGGTGAAATAATAGATATTAATACAGTAAGCAAACTTTTCAGATCTTTATTCTTTATAGACATGAATCATATGTGAATCAAGCAGGTGTAAAGTAAGTGCATATTATATCAAAATTCAAGTTCACCCTGGGGCAACACTTTTTTCCAAGGAAAACAGCCGCGCCCTTGACGCTCTGTTTTCTAGGCAAGTGCTC